CACACACACACACACACACACACATAGTGAGAGAGAGAGAGGCATCGGCACAGACGCAGAGAACGAGACTAAAGCACTCGTGAAAGAAAAGAAAACGACAGAAAGCTTGGGGCACGAAGGAGAACGCCAAATCATGCCGTTCTCATAGCAACGCGTTTAACTATACATGTGTGTCGTGCCGTTCTTGTTGTTGGTGTTGTGTGCATTGGCGGCGGGGGCGTGATGGCGGTGCGCACAGACATCAGTCCTCCCCCCTGTGGTACTTGAGGACATACTCGTCGAGGAATCCCGTCATCTTCTCATGCAGCGGCCGCGTCACGTTGGGGTCGTAGTAGTGCGCCACGACGCACAGCAGGTCGAGCCACTCGGGGAAGAATATGACACCGGGCTCGCGGTCCGCGTCGACGGCGACCGCAACGAACGACTCCTCAATCACACGTGACGTGACGCGGCGAATGCGGACCCAATCGAACTCTACCGCCATGCGCTGCACCCAGCTCAGCGTCATGACACGCACGATGCCCATGTGGCTGTAGTGCGCAGCGATGTTAAGGTTGCTGCTGCTGCCGACGGCAAAGAGGGTGCTGTGGCTCGTCGACCGCTCATTCGCAGACCTTCGCGAGTTCGCCTCGCTGTTCGGCAGCGTGACGCGCATGCCGAACGCCTCCTTCGGCCTCGCGTAGGCCGAAAAGAGGCCGAAGAGGGCGTCCAGGTTGGTGGCAAACAAGTCCCGCACCTTGGCGTGGCGTCTGGCGCGGCGAAACACGTCGAGCGTGGGCCCGCGAAAGCTATGGGTGATGATCCACTCGTGGAGAAACTCACGCACCGCTGCGGGGCGTAGCGCTATCGTCAAATCGCACGGGTCATAGTGGACAAGTGTCGCCAGCCGCGACTTTCCTTCTTGATCCGCAGCGTCCACTGCCGGCGCTGCTGCACCTGCTGCTGGTGGTGACCCCTCGGCCTCTTCTGCTTCGAGCTGCTGCCGCTGCATGCTGCTCCAGGCCTGTGCGCAGCGCAGCAACGCCTCCATGAACTCTGCCGCGTTGAGGCGCATCTTGTAGAGCGTGCTCTTCAGGTCGATCTCCGTCGCTTCCCGCACGAAGCGCGACTTCCGTGGAGCCTTCAGTGTGCTGGACACGTCGAGCGAGCGACCCAGTGAGCGCTGCGCGTTATCTTCGCACACAATTATGATGATGCGGCGCACCACAAAGCGGTGGAGTTTGCCACGACCGCCCACCACACGGCAGTCACACAACAGGCGCCAAAAGTCCAGCGCGGTGATGTACCGCTCACCCCCGCCGTTCTCCCACGCGTACTGCAGGAACAGCGCGCGCAGCTTCGGAAACACATTTTCGACGCAGCGCGCCAGGCGGAGGAAGTAAGAGCCGGTCGTGATGGCCTCCCGTGGCAAAATGTCAGCGAGCCGCATGAGCGTCACGTTCTCCATAAACTCCGGCGTGTCCTCTTGCACCTCGGTGGTGGAGATGGCGTTGGACTCGACCGCGACGTTGACAGCGTGATGCAGTGCGCTGAATGATGCGGCGATCCAGCGCCGCTGGTTCTCCACCATGAGGGGCCACGACAGATGACTCTGCGGTGGGTGGTACCACTCCACGCAGTGCCGGTCACGCACGCCGAGGTGAGTATCCACAGCAATCGTCTCTCCGGTCGTTGCTGCTGCTGCTGTTGTTGTTGTTGTTGGTAGTGGTGTCTCTGTGGTGGTTATGGGGGATGGGACAAGGCTGTCCTCAGTGGAGCGCTGCCTCTTGACTTTACTCTCCATCCAGTTGGAGATGTAACGCATGAGACCGGCGAGGAATACAAGCTGCACACCACGCCGGCGCGTCATAAGCTGCTGGGCCGTCACAATAGCGGCACCGCCCGTCAGCGTGCGGTAGGCCTCCACAAGCGTACGACCAACCGTCGCCTCCATCGTGCGCAGGACGACTATATTCGGGTCCTCCTCGTCCACCACCTCGTTTTCCACCTGTACCCGCAGCGCCCGCACACGTGCGTCGGTGAGGCAGACCGTCTTGAGCTCCTCGTTGCTCGGTCCCGACTCGTAGTCCAGCGTGCGGATGAGCGCGAGGAAGAGATGCAGCGGCACGTACACCGTCGTCGCCTCCGTCAGCAGCGCGTTGAACGGGAGGTCTTCCTCGCTGATATCACAGAGGCGCATCCGTGACCGTTGCTGCTGCTGTTGTTGCTGTTGCTGTTGCTGTTGCTGCTGGTTGCTCTGCTTGGTTTCGATGTTGCCGATGTACTCCGCAAAGTCAGTGTCGGTGGCGGCGACGATCAACGGGCCAAAGGGGCCCTCGATCAGCGTCGTGTTCGCCCACAGCACGAGCACCTCCAGCGGTGACATGTCCTCCGTGTCGGCGGGGAACGGCGTCTTCAGCAGCAGCGCGTCGAGCAGGCGGCTACCAACGCGGTCCATCTCGCGCACCTGCTCCAACCTGTACTGGTACTCGCGCTCCGTCTCGGCGATGCGCTTCTCCAGCGCGACGCGGTGGTCAGCCTTCGCGCTGAGCTCGGCGCTGATGCCGGCACTCTCGCTCGTCAGCACCTCGATATCGTCCTCGAGCGCGCGCGTGTTGCGGCGCAGGGCGGCGATGCGGGCCTTGAGGCTC